GCATGGTTTTATGCTATAGCACCGGAGGAAAAAAAACATAACAGAAGGCTTAATAGCATTTAATGACTACTAGAATTAAATATGCAAAAAAAGAATATTGAACCATCTGACATTCCTACACCGATTAAGAGACCTTACAACTCATTCCTTCAAAAGGTTTGGCACCAAGACTTCCCATCAATTCAAGGTGAAACATGCCCTTGTCCGAGAGAGAATCCAGTACAATCGTTGGATAAAACAGTGACTAATTTTTTAATGTCTCCCACAGGCTCAAGAATTTCTTCAACAGAATTAAATAATGAAGAAAACCAGAGAAGGATCCAAAATGACCTGGATAAATCCTTCAACATGAATTGATGTAGTCAAGGCTAAAAAATAAAAAAATTAAATAGATTGAAAGATCAAAAACACTATTGACATTAAGGTCTATCACCCACCAGTGAAAGCAGTAGTCAACATCAGCCAATATCAGCTGAGTGCCTCTGAGGAGTCAGTATTGAATAAACCCTCTCAACTTCCACAACCATCAGGCGAAAAGCCATACTTGGACATCATTACCAGAGTCGAGGAGGTGGCCTTTTACATCCCTCAGGCTCAGGCAGATGAACTGAGATGGAAAGTGAGACAGACCTTGAGAGAGCCAAGCCTGCCCAGGTGTAACATAACAAAACTGGAGAGGCTTGCAATTGATCCCTGTTATAGGAACGAAAACATCATCATACTACCGCTTGACAAAGGTAATGCGACAGTAGTGATGATGGACAAATCAGATTATACAAGAAAGCTGGAAGACCTCATTAGCAAATGGTAGCTACAGCAAAGTAAAAAAGGATCCTACTATGAAAACGGAATGCAAACTGTCACATATTCTAATCAAGAACAAGGATCACTTCACACCAAAGATGTATAGGCAGTTATCGCAGCGTTACATATCGCATATATGGTCTCCCTAAGATTCACAAAGACGGTATTCTGCTCAGGCCGATTGTTAGTTGCCAAGGCTCTGTGTGCCACCCTCTGAGTCGCTTCCTTGTAGATATAATTGACCCATTGATCGGAAAGTCTCCTTCATATGTCTGGTTATTTCCATGAAGTGGGTGGAGTTTCAAAGATGCTCCCATCCTATCCAACCAGATGGTGAGCTTGGATGTGGTGAGTTTGTTCACCAAGGTACCCACGGAGGAGGCACTCTCAGTAGTCAGAGACAGATTGGCCTCTGACTCTTCCCTAGAAGAACGGACCAGTATTCCAATAGATAATCTGATGGAGATGTTGACTTTCCTGTACACAAACAACACACTTTGGAATGGGATCACACATATATCGACAGGATGAGGGCTTAGCAATAGGCTCGCCATTATCACCAGCAATGGCAAATATATACATGGAATACTTTGAGGAAATGGCATTAGAATTTATATCTCTAAAGCCAACTATATGGTTAAGGTACGTAGATAACACCTTCATACTCTGGCCACACCAGGAAGATGTTCAGGTTCTACTGGACCATGTGAACTCAATAAGACCTTTGATACAGTTCACAATGGAGAAAGAGAGTAACAACACACTCCCATTCCTGGATGTTTTAATATCTCAAACAGAGCATGGGTTTAAGACATCTGTATACCGTAAACCAACATTCACTGGACAGTACCTCAATTTCAACTCCTACCATCCATACAGCATAAAGAAAGGGATCGTCCGTTGCTTACAACACCGAGCAAAAGTCATAAGTGGTGACCCAGAGACGTTAGATAAAGAATTGGTCAGTATAGTACCCTCCAACGTAACAACTACCCTGGGTACATGGCAGCATCCCCCAAAAACTGGGATAGGCGGGTACAAGAGGGGGACGACAACAACACTCAGAAAACAGTCTTCCTGCCTTATATGAAGGGGTTATCAGAGAAAATACAAAGGATCTGCTGTCTATATAACATCAGGACAACCTTCAAAAGCTTGATGACACTTTGCAGATATCTCTCCTGAGTAAGACCCCCTCCCATAGAGGAGAACATGACTAAAGACTGTGTGTACACTATCCTGTGCAGCTGCGGAAAGGAATACAAAGAAGAGACAGGCCACCCCTTCAAGGTAAGGCTTCAAGAACACCAGAAAGCTGTAACACGAGGGGAAGTGGAAAAATCAGGTGTGGCTGACCATATATGGAGAGAGAAGGGAGATCACTGCCCTCTGTGGGATCATGTTGAGATCATAGACAAGGGACACCATTGGAAAATTCGTAAACTTAAGGAATCAGCACATATACCAGGCCACAGAAATCTCCTGAGCCAACCAAGCATAGAAATAAATACAATATGGGAACCAGTAATAAGGAGTGCCAGAGAAAAGCAATGATAACAACAAAGTTGCAATATGAGCTCTGGTAAAAACATGCAATGATAACAGCAAAAAAATTGCAATATGAGCACTGGTAAAAATGGTTGCTGAAGACATTAGGTTTATAATACCCAGAAATTCATACCATGGTGCAGTGGATAAAGGCATTGGTTAGATCCAGTGACAGGACCCAAAGAGTGTGAGTTCAATACCCGGTTAAGGCAGTGAACTTTCAGAGGGAAATTAACAGGAGATAACTGATATCCATCAAACATGGCATGTGGAACTAGAACAGTCTACCCAGTGAGTGAAATAAAGGGTTCAGTTCAACATTCCAACCCCCTGAAGAAGGCTGGAGTGTACAATGGCCGAAACGTTGTGATAAAAAACATGGTGACAAAGATTTATTTACATTATTTGGACAATAATAATGTACATAGTACCTCATCTCAGAAATAATTAAGAAAGTTTGAAACACCTATTCAACTAACAGCTAAAATAAAGTAAGCTTTTGCTGAAATCTTGTTAAGACATTCTAGTCTTTTTTGTCATTATTCTAAGACTTTGATCAATCTCAGGAATCCATCAACTTTAGTTTTGTGTGACATGCCATTGACTGGGGCTTGTGATGTTTCAAAACTGAGTTTGAGACTTCTTCAGACCTTATATGGGTGAAAGAGTTTCCAGTTCAAGATGTCAACAGACCAGTGTCCAAATAAGTTGCTCTTTAGGTCATATAATACATAGTTACTATATGAGTGAAATATAAGTGTAAACATTTTCACTCCTATGTACAAATTTTTCTTTGTATTGTGTTGCAATCAAGTCATGTAGCTTATTGAGTAATTCAAGTATGAGTATCTTCAGTTGTTTCCATTGTTTGATATTTCAGTTTCAGGAAGTTGTTCTGTGATTCTGTTCTTAATTCACATCTTTGGTCCAACCTTATTCTTTCAATGTGGGTAGGAAGCATTTTTCTAGATTGTCCTCTTAGACCTAAAGTTTTAAATTTAAAAATATATATATATATATATATATATATATATAATCAACACAAATTATATTCTATAAATATCTTTTTAATTTAACGTCAGTGAAAGTATGTTATTTATAAGTGATTAAATTATCAATTAAAATTTCTGTATGGTATTTAGTGTTTAAGTAGAGCAGTGAGGTAGACAAAGGAGGAGGTGGGAGGCCATCAATCTCAGAGCAACAATAAACAGATAGAGTGGGGTCTATTGGAAGTCATCTGTGGTTCCCAATGACTATGCACTAGGGTATAGGATAAAAAAGTAAAAGATCCGGTTTATGGCTGTAATTCTAAATTCATGAAGCAGATTTGTTATTAACTGGCAGACTGTTCAATTGAACTGCTGTTATTTTGCTCCGATTGGTTTTTCAAATAAAAACTCTCCAATTTACTGAAGACAAACCTTTAAGAAAATGAATGTTAACAAAAAAAGTTTACAAGAATTCATCAGAATTTAACTTGTTGCTAAAATTTATTTTTCCAAAACAAGAATAAAAATCTCTACAAAATAAAAATAATGACAAAATGAATTTCTTTGAAATTTTTGCAGAAAAAGTTTAGAAAAGAAACAAAACTAAAGCTGCAATTTGATGAGATGATATATTATTTTTTAATTGTGAATGGCTGCCTTGGTTAAATGAACTGCATTAAATAAATGCTGTCAAAAAATCAGTTTAAGCAGAACAATTCATACCATATTTATGCCTGTACAAGTTTCAAGGAAAAAAAGAGATGTCATAAATCACAGTCCAATTGTAACCACCTTTATAGCCATGACTGAAGTATAAATACTTCATTACATTCTATTGTACAGAACAAGATATAAATATCTATTGCATAAACAAATTATTATATATCAAAGAGACAAAATTTACTTTCCTTTTCAATAAAAATTGCTTACTCATACCAATACAAGCATTTAAAATGAGAGACAAGTATTTTTAGATGTCTGTGTTTTGAATAGTGAATAATAATTTCCAAAGAAATTAATCTTTGAGAATACAAAATGATTTTAGTCACTATGAATTATGCATTTCACTTGCATCTAGATTACCATAATAATAAACTTAAAGAAAATTGGAGACAGTGAGTGGGGAGGTGGAGAGAACTTTTCAACACAACTTATACAAGCATAATTAAGGTATACTTTTTTTGACAGTCAGCTTCCTGTTGGGCATCAAGAATAAATTCATATCAAGTTTCATATTTAAAAAGCTCATTTCCTTCTGATTTTATGTTTCCTTCTAAATACAACAATTCAAGGTAAACAAAGCAGGAAGGAAGGGAAGGCAGAACAAGAAAATTTGATTTGACAAAACAATCCTTCTCTCCCCACTTTTTTTTTTCTTTTTTTAGTTTTTTTTTTTCGGCAGGTGATAGATATATTTTTTATATGAAAGACAGCCAATTTTTTTTTATTAATTTCTCTCTCTCTCACACACACACACACACACTTAACTGCTTACAAACAAAATAAAATTTGTTATTTTTTTTAACCAAATATACATAAAATGAAAATCTCCCCTAATTTTGTCTTCAGAAATTTGTTGGTGTAGTCTGTCATGTTGAATTAAGAGTAGAGATGTTGCTATAAATTATAGGAAGTAAAATGAATTGTACAATTATTTCAGGCATCTTTGTTTCCTGTGTTGGATGGAGCTTCCTCTGTGCTTGTCAAATCAGGTAGTGATACTGAACCCTTTTTACTCAGGTTGCTAAGTTCAATTTCAGCTGCTTGCTGCCGATGTCTCTTAAATACTTTGCCACCAACAAAACCTGAAAAAAGGGAGAAATTAAAAGAGCTACAAAAAGTGATTATAAAAAAGATTGTAACATTAAATGCATGATTCCTTACTTCTAAATGCATAAGATTAAATTCAAAATCCATGTGAAAGCAGGGTTCCAATATGTCTCCTTCTGTATGAACACTTAATATTTTTACAGTGTGTGTGACAAAGATTTCTTTATTTTCAGTTGCATTTCACTATATATTGAAAACAAAAAAATATTAAAAACATCTTCAACTTGACTTCTATTCCAATGTTTAAAAGTACTCTCTTAAATGTTGGTTTTGGCAGTCTCTGCTTGATATCAAGTGACTTCTGATTTGTAGAATTTATGACTTAATTATTTACAAATGCTAATTATCACTAAGTTTTATTATCATTATTATTAAGGTATCATTGGTATTCTGCAATGAGTGAAGACACATCAAGTAAAACTAAGCAGTTAATTGACCTTGAACAGGCATTTTTTGTTAATTTACACTTAATTAAAAAATTACCCAGAAACCAGTGGCTTCATTGGAGTTGAAATTCCTTTTATACTTGATCATTATAACCTTCATATGTACTTATGGACTCTTCCCTCATTTTTGAGGGTCCAGTAGCTCAATTCCTAGAACTGAACGGCCAGCCTGTTCACACCTATGATTTGATTATAATAGTGAAGGCTTTGTACAGAACCAACCACACTTTTTGGAAGAGCCAAATACAGAGAACTCGTGCACATAGTATGCCACAAGGCCCCCAAATGACTCTCCTCAGGTTTTGAATTCAGAATTGTCTTTCTCCTAGCCTGGTTGCATTCCAAAGCTATAGGACCCAGTCTATCTTGCTACTGGATTCATACCATTACCAAAGGTATTTGTACAGATACCTTATTCTGAGCCTCTTGCCCCACCATGCCTCCATACATGTACATATGTTTATATGTTTACACACACACACACACACAAATATGACAAAGAATATCCTGTTAATTTATTAAATATAACCTCTATTATTTTAATACAAGAGAATGAATGATTAGTTCAAGATTATGCAGGAATTGCCTTTATTTCTTAATGTAAGTTTTAGTACTTTCAGTCATTCCCAGTTCATTCTTAAGAACAAAACATTAGTATTATACGAAGAGAAGACTAAATGATGAAGTCACTTGACATCATATTAGCATTTCTATTAGATCATTATGGCTTAAGAATTTCATATCAGAACACACACACACACACATCTATTATGCTTATAGAAAATGCATTTGTGCATGTGTAAAGGTGGAAGAGAAATGATTCATTTCATCAAAAAGTATTATTTCTTAGTGAAGCGATTCTTGATGTGTTATTAATAAAATGGTGGTAAAGTTGATCATTATTTAGGCTATTAATATTATCAGATATAATTTTTGATTATTAATGATATCAGATATATTATTCATAATTAACATCAAAAGTCAATATTTAAAACTTTCATAAAAAATATCAGATTCATAGATGAAAGTGTATATACATTGAATTCTATTTGTTTTTTTCCTGGTTTTTCTTCATTCCAAAGAATGAAAATGTCAGAATTTCACATGATATTTAAGAAATCAGAATGAAGATGATAGAAGAAATTTCAGAAACTCACATCTTTTATCTATCATCAGGATTGAGTGTAAATTTATACTGATGTCTTTGTCTTTGCTTAGTCAGAATATTTCCAATCAGATTTCAAATTTAGTGAAAAAAATGGCATACAAACCTATAACTCCACCTCCCACAGCAGCAGCCACTCCTCCAAGCTTAGCACCAGCCACAAATCCAAGAGGTCCTCCCACTATACCACCAACCAAAGCTCCAGCAAGGGGGATGATTGCTGTTTTTAACTTAGCCCCCTAAAATAATGAAATCCGAAAAGATCAATCACTATAAGAATTAATTAACAACATTTTCGAGACCTCAATTTACAGTGTTTCAATAGTTTTAGCTGTTATTTAAACCACTTCATAGTTACAATTATTAGACAGTTTTTGAAACATTGCTAATTTGAATGAAAGCAGTATTAAGCTATTTTAAAAAATTATTTTTGATCCAGATTATTATTAGTTACATCATCCACTTTTATCTTTTCTATTGATGTTTAAATACAGTAAATTGGTAGCTGACTGTATTCTTGTATGCCATTAGTACTTGAAATGTGTCTCATTGTTCCAAAATTCTCTTAGCTATTTTAACAGCACTTTCCACTTTTCCATTTGCTTGAGGATAATGTGAACTTGATGTTATTTGTTTAAATCCATAAATGCCTGCAAAATATTTGAAAGTGCAACTTGAGAATTGTTTCCCATTATCACTGACAAGTTCAATAGGAATTCCCCAATGTGAGAAGAAATTTTTCAACTTCCTTATGACACAATTGCTTGTCATTGGATTAAGCTATTTCTATATGTCTTGAGAAATAATCTATTGTGACAATATATTGGTGTTCTTGGTGAGTGAAAATGTCTGGACGAATTCTTTGCTATGGACCTTGAAGAAGTGATGTTACTTTTAATTTTTCCTTTTTATTTGTTGGACAGTGTATGTTACAAAATGAGCATTTTTTTTTTTTTTTTTTAGATACTCCTCCAACTCTTGAGAGACCAATACATTGATTCTTTGGCCCTATCTCGGCATTTGTTTCATCCCAAGTGACCATTATGAAATCTCCTTAATATTCCTAGCCTAAATTTTTCAGGTATGACAATTCTGTCCTGAAAACACAGTAAATTGTCATGAACTGACAATTCATTCCGACTTAGAAAATATGTCCTTATACCTTCTTTTATTGTTCCTTCGTGTGTTCATCCATTTAGTGTGAGATGTATTATTTATTGTAATACAGTATCCTTTTTCAGTAATTTGGTCATTGGTTGTATTGTTTCAGGCAAGTTTGGTAAGAATTTTCCTATGTATGTTGATTATACAAAATAATTCAGTTAAATTTGTAGATGCAGGAAACTCCTGAAAGGCTTTTAGTCTTTCCTTGCTGGGGTTAATTGTCTCCAGAAATTATGTGTCCAAAATACTCTAGTTGAGTCTTTTTAAATTCACACTTTTCTTTATTAAGCCTGAGTCCAGCTTTTTGTAATGTTTTGAGAACAGTTTTAGCATTCCACTTCAGTTTTAAATTTCTTCTCAACAAATCATTGGTTAAAAAATAATGCAATCTAATTACTATATGTCTTCTTAAAAAAAAGTGAAAAATTTTGTGCAAAAAGTGGATCACACAGATCTTGCTATAATAAATATGAAAGATGCCTACACAATCAGATTTTGCCGCCAATATTTTTGAACAGCAGCCTGGAGCCAGTCATGTGACACAGAACCAAATAAATAGGGAGCACAAACATATGCCATCAATGAGATGTTTTAAAAGTCAACAAGACACATTGCTGCCATGCTAAAGAAATTTAACTTGGATATTCCAGTTTTTTCCAGTTACTTAAGAAAAGACTTCTGAAGCTACAAGTTTACTGAACATAATTTCAGCTTTTCAGAACACAATTCAAGAAACTTTCTCACTCATTTCTATTCAATGGAATTTACTCTTTGGTGAACACTTTCTTTTAGTGGCAAGATTTATTGTATATATTTTCAGAAGTACAAAAACTAAATTTTATTTAGTACCAAACGGAAACTTCTTGAAACATTAAGTAATAACATGTTCCTTATTTACTAAACATATTCTTACAATATTCATATTACATAAAAAAAATTTCAACTAATTCACAAAGAACATTTCTTCTAAAAACAAACTCTTTTTCATTGTGAGACCAGATAAAAAAAATTCTCACTTTCAAAGAAAAGTTTTCAATTAATTAAATTCATAGTTAAGGGTAAACAACTCTTATTTTTGCATTGTATCTTGTACCAAAAACACTGTTTTGAAGGAACATTATAAAGCATTTTAATTTGCTCAATTAACATTAATGAACTTTGAAATTAAACATAGTTCAGCTAAATATTCTGAGCAGTTTATTCTTGATAATTTATATTATTCCTATATAAATATTTTGTTGTTGCTTTACATTATTGTTGTCATCTTTTGTATTGCTTGTCAGCCTTGTGTCATACATCTAAAGTTAAATGTTTGTGTAGGAGTGAAATTTTATACACAGCCTACCTCATATAACCAAATAGCTTTTTGGTCAATTTTCAAACTTATTCAACCTTCACCTCTGAAACACAGTTTTTAGTCTTTTGTCATGTTCTTCTACAGTTCTACTGTAGATTAGAACATTGTTGATAATAGTTTTGACTTGTTGAATATTTTTCAATATTTGTGACATCTTTCTTTGAAAGATTTCTGGAGCCGATGTTATACTAAAAGATAATCTTTTGAAGCAATATCAATATTTCTTAACAGAATTTGGTAGAATCCACTGGTAGCACCCAATTTAGAAAAAAAATTTAGCACCATTTAGTTTAGGTGAAATATCTAAATTTGGTAACATGTAATGTTCCCTTCTCATTGGTAGATTCAGCTTCACATCTACACATATTCGGACTTTTCTGTTTCTTTTTATTATGGCTACTAAAGGCACACACCAATCAGTTGGTTCTGTAACCTTTTCAATAATTCCCTAGTTTTCCAGTCCATTCAATTCTTCCTTCACCTTTGGTAAAATAGGGAATGAGATTCTCAAAGCTGTTGTTACACAGGAGAGTGAAGCGTCTATTTTAACTAGGTCTCCATTCAGACACCCTCCAGCGTCAAATGAAGTTCTCTGTTCTATTTTGTCTAAACGTTTCACTAAATTCATTTTTATAGAAGTTTTTCTAGACAACAAGTTCTATCCCTTTACACATTCAATGACATACATCTCCAAATCATATTGTCTTTACCTTTTGTAACAGTATTAAATTTTCCAATGCATTGGAATATTCATCAAGAACTTGTGAAGATGTCATTAACTGGTTTTAAGATGTTTATATTGGCACCTGTATTGATTTTAAATTTCACTGCTGTTTTACAAATTTAAATTTATTTCTGTCAGCTCTCCTAAGAAATATTTCTTTTCTTCTTTTACTGACTGCATCATATTAGTTTTAGTTCTGCAGGTTACAGCGAGATGATTCATTTTTCCACATTTCTTGCAGTATTTCCTTTTCACTGGACAGTTTTTAAGATCATGTTTTTTATTACATCTCTGGCAATTTTTTTGTTTCCACATTTTCTTTTCATATTTTATAGGTTTCTCTGGGTCTTTAGTTTGTCCACATTTTTCTTGTGGATTTCTTCCATTTGAACTTTTATTTGCTCACTGCTCTTGGCCATCACTGTAGCTTTCTCAAGTTTCAAATCAGGAAATCTTTTGGATAGGTTTTTAATCTGTATTCCTATCACAAGACAAGCTCTGATTTGGTCATTTTTCTTTGGAAACTCAATGCTTTTGCTAATTTGTGCTATGCTTTCCACTGGTCCTCCTGGTAATTGAACTCGAAGATAAAATTTTGCCCTTTCACGAATTATATTTCTTTTAGGCATGAAGTAGGCATTGAATTTTTCCAAAACTGAGTCATACACATTTATGTCTTCTTGCTGTGAAAAAAAAAATGTCTGGAATATCTAATATATATGGATATACATTATATAAACGAATATAAAATATGCACATTGATAATAAAATATAAAAATATAAGATCTGTCTATATTTCTGAGATGAGGTATTATGTACACTATTTACATTATTTGGACTATTGTCCTCATCTTTGTCGCCATATTTATTATGTTTTGGCCGTTGTACACTCCGGCCTTCTTCAGGTAGTTGGAATGTCAAACTGAACCCTTTATTTCGCTAGACTGTTCTAGTTCCACGTGCCATGTTTAGACTAATGGATGTCACTTATGAGTTATCTCCTGTTAATTACCCTCTCCAAGTTCTCCACCACCTTAGCCAGATATTGAACTCACACTCTTTTTGGTGGATCTAACTAACACCTTTATCCACTGTGCCATGTATCCTTGAGGACATCTGTGTATGAATTTCTGTGTATTATAAACCTAATATCTTCAGCAACCATATTGCAATTTTTGCTGTTATCATTGCATGTTTTTACCAGAAATCATATTGCAATTTTTGTTGTTATTATCGCTTTTCTTTGGCACTCCTTATTACTGGTTCCCATATTGTACTCATTTCTATGCTTGGTCGGCTCAGGAGATTTTTGTTGCCTAGCATATGTGTTGATTCCTTAAGTTTACGAATTTTCCAATGATGTTCTTTGTCTATAATCTCAACATGATCCCACAGAGGGCTGTGATCTCCCTTTTCTCTCCATATGTGGTCAGCCACGCCTGATTTTTCCACTTCCCCTCTTGTTACAGCTTTCTGGTGTTCTTGAAACATTACCTTAAGAGGGCGGCTTGTCTCCCCTTTATATTTCTTTCCACAGCTGCACAGGATAGCGTACACACAGTCTTTAGTCATGTTCTCCTCTATGGGAGGGGGTCTTACTCAGGAGAGATATCTGCGAAGTGTCGTCCAGCTTTTGAAGTTGAAATTGAATTTCAACTCCCTCCATCCCTACAGTGTAAAGAAAGGGATTGTCCACTGCTTACAACACTGAGCAAAAGTCATAAGTGGCAACCCAGAGACATTAGATAAAGAAATGGTCAGTACATTTTAGTACCCTACAACGTAACAACCACCCTGGGTACATGGCAGCAGCCCCCAAAAACTAGGATATGTGGGTACAAGAAGAGGACAACAACACTCAGAAAACAGTCTGCCTGCCTTATGTGAAGGGATTATCAGAGAAAATACAAAGGATCTGCGGTCCACATAACATCACAACAAACTTCAAAAGCTGGACGACACTTCACAGATATCTCACCCGAGTAAGACCCCCACCCATAGAGGAGAACATGACTAAAGACTGTGCAGCTGCGGAAAGAAATATAAAAGCGAAACAGGCCGCCCCCTTAAGGTAAGGTTTCAAGAATACCAGAAAGCTGTAACTCTGTGGGATCAGGTTGAGATCATAGAGAAAGAACATTATTGGAAAATACACACAAATATCTATGGAGGAAGTGTGTGTGTGTGTGTATATATATATATATATATATATATATATACACACACACACACTGGCAAAAAACAAACACTATAGACGGACCACATGCACACACAAACCCCACACACCATGGGAAGTGTGTGTGCGTATATATATATATATATATATATATATATACACACACACACACACACACACACACTATTCCTTATGATAAAACAATACGTATATATATGCGATAGAGAAGGAATATGTATACACATACTAGCAAAAACACACAGGCACACACAATACACAAAAATGGATATAGGTTTATAAAGATACAGGGGTCATAAAAAGAACAAAGACATTCTTCCTTCGCATTTTCTCTGACCAATCCTAATTGTTTTATTACCCCTTAAGCAGAAGAATATTTTCTCCACAAGTCCAAGAAAATTTGGATCATTACTTACACACAAAAGATAATGTGTAAGCATCAGAAAACATAAGGGAAAATGAATTCCTCTAAATAATATGTGGAAATAACCACACTTTGCCTACTGTAGGTCGAAAGACCCAAAACGCGTGTAGCAAAAGTATGGAAAATAAAGTTATATACATTTATAAAATGCACATTAAAACCAAAAACATTTGCGGTTTCTCTCTTCTCTTTAAAATATATACTTTACACTCGTTAAAACAATAATCTCTCCCTTGTATGTATGTATATATATGTACACACACACACACACACACACACACACACACACACAGATGATGAAATAAAAATTATAATGGCTTCCAGACAGTCTATACTAATGCTTAATGACTCTACTTGGATTAATGAAAATTTCGATGTTCCCATGGGAGCATATGATTCAGCCCAAATAGACATTCTAAGTAATTCTTAGATCCCCAAAACATAGGGCTGTACAGAGATGATGGACTTATTGTTATACCTAATATCAATGGTCCTCTAACATCCAAACTACAGAAAAAAATAATTAAAGCCTTCAAATTTTTGGGATTTAAAATTGACATGTCATTCAACTTAAAAATCGTTAATTCACTAGACGTTACATTTAATCTCTACAATAACACCTACAAACCCTTCCAAAAGGAAAACCAAACTCCCATATACATAAATATCAACTCAAACCACCTCAAAGCAATTATAAATCAAATTCCAAACAGTCAATGCCAGAATAAACAAACTGTCTTCTAGTGAAGCAATTTTTAATCAAAACAAATCTAGATATAATCAAGCCCTATTAAAAAGTAACTTCAAACAAACATTAAATTATATAGATAACCCAACTAATAACACATTCAATAAGTCCAAAAATAGAAAAAGGAAGGTTATATGGTTCAACCCTTGATTCTATAAACTATCAAACTATATAGGGAAATACTTCCTAAAGTTAATAGATAAGCATTTTAGTAAAGATAAGCTACTGAAAAAAATGTTTAATAAAATGAATCTAAAAATTAGTTACTCATGCATGAACAATGAACTGAATGTCCAGTAGGAGGAGTTTGCATGACAGAAATCGTAGTATATGAAGTCACAATCTCCACCAAGGAAAATGTAAAACAAAAAAGATCTATATAGGAATATTTGCTGGGAACTGGAAACAGCGCTTCCACAACCATCGCCATTACTTCACAAATGAATATCAAAGACACCAAACAGCACTATCAAAATACCATTGGGATTTGGTGGAAAACAGCTTCACTCCATAGGTGAAATAGAGAATCATCTCTGGAGCTCGAACTCCAAAAAACTTCAGAGAGAGATATGACTTCTGCATTAAAGAGAAAATCCTGATAATCAAGCATAATGATCCTGAAGAATTACTCAACCAACACAATGAGATGTTCTTTAAATGCAGACACAGAAATCATCTCAATGTAACTAACTACATATAAAAAAACTTGTCCATTGAAATTCTGAATGTCTAAATTATCAATATTTGAAATAATACCCGATGTCTCTCTATACAAACTATCATCTATATTATAATATATATGCATTTTTATATGGGCATATGTGCATTGATAAATATCCTTACAATTAGGCTAATATTTATAGGTGTCCATATGGTCATATTCATACGTTAGTGTATGTATATGTAGATGTTTATATACGGAAGTATTTATTGTGTGTATATGTGCATGCATGAATATATATATATATATATATATATATATATATATATATATATATGTGTGTGTGTGTCAGGTTATATATGCATATGTATCGATACATATATATATATGTATGTATGTGGTGTGTATGAATATATGTATGAGGTATGTAAAGGCAGATTTTTATTATTACCTTCAAATCTTACTTCATCTTTAAATAGTTTCAAATTAGACTTGAAGACTTAGACTTTAATTAATAAATATTACTCCTTAACCATTATTCACAATATTAAAAATATTACCATTAGTAATTTTTTATTTTTTTCATTGATATAATATTCCGTTTATATTAAATTCCTAGTTAATTTTGTGGAAAATTTAAACACTTAAATTACTATCAAACATTAACTGAAAAATAAAAAAAAAATTTGAAAAATATATAATTCTGTGTTTTTCCAGACTGGCTGCTATATGCCCACATATGTTAAATCTCTTAATTTCCCTCTCCAAATTTATATCCCCCTCTCTTTCCTTCAAAAACCTAAGTCCATCTCTTATTTCTTACATCTTTACTTCTCTCTTTTTTTCTCTCTATATCATTTCTGGTGAGTTGATCTAATAAATAGGTCAATGTCTGATCCTTACCTCCCCCTTCATCACTATTAAGTATTGTAATAAAAAATTTTTTAAAAGCATTCCTATCTCTCCCTTCCCTCTCTAATTTTGACCATGTCTGTCACACTATCTCTCACCAGTCTCTATATCACCTTAAATCAAATTAATACTACCCCTCAAAAGTGTAAAAATTATATGTAAATTTAAATTCATTTTTTCATCCTTGGAAGCGAGGTCTAATGATCCAGGGAAAAAGAAACTCCCTGGGGAAATGAATTATAACCATGGACCCTTAAAGTTGTCTGTTTTCATTAAATTATATATATATAAGCAGCATATTTTCATTCAAGCATGTTTGGTTAAATAATTTAGATGTATTTATGTCTATTTTAGTTTTAATCCTTTCAAGTTCACAAATTTGACTTATTGTTATACATTAACACCATAAATTCAAAATATTTTTTTTTGCTGCTACGCAAGGGAGATAACTTACGTGATTTTTGTAAAAGATTTTTATTGTAGTATTTTAATTTAGTATTTTTTTTATATAACACTTTACAGTAGAGAATAAATAATAATATTTTTATACAACAGTCAGTTTTCAATCGGTACCTGACAATTACACAGTACATGAAACAGAGTTGTGCTACTGGTGAGTAAAGAAATTTGTGTGTGTATGTATGTATATATATATATATATATATAAGTGGAAGAAAGTATGATAAAGTGGAAAAAGTTTTAATTCATCTTGATATATAAAAATTGATAAATCATTTTTCCCCCATATATGTGTGCTTTAATAGGTTTCTCTCATGGTTACCAATGTGATAATGATTTTTCTTTTCAGAAAGTATTAGCTTACTAGTTTGACTACCTACACTCAATTGAAAAACTGAATCTTTTTCAAATTAAAAGATTTCAGCTTTGCTTTGGAAGATTGATTTTTTTTTTACAAGAGTATAAACCTGGTGTCCCCAGGACCAACACAAATTTTATTTGGTCTACAGCAACTTAAAATATTGAAATGAATAGCCTTCTTTCTAATCTGCATTTGTTAATTTATTTGATAATATCTGACATTTTATTTCATTACATCTTATTTCTCAGTGTAAGTATTGTTTCTTTGTAATTTTCCAAATTTCTCTTTTGTTGAAAAATCAACTTCATGGCAATTAATGATTAACTCAGATTTTACTGTTATTTAAAAAATTGATTTAAATTTTTTTGGTAACTGTTGACATACATGATATGTAATTATGTCATGATGACTTTCTTCAAGTTAATAGGTGTGATAAGAACAAATAGGAAATGTTTATTAGTCTATCATGTTTCACTTTTATTAAATCTTCATCAAAGAATGACATAAGGAGAAAAAAAAAGAAAGAAATTTTGATATTTTTACTTTTGTATTGTTTGATTTTCATTGTTCAATCATGTTACACATGCATTTGAGTTGTTAAACCAATGTTCATACAATTTGTGGTGTTCCAAATTCAAGGAGAGATGATGTAAAGTTTCAAGCAATGTGCGTGTGTATGTATGTATGTATGTCAGACCACAAGACAAGAGTGAATTTAAAGATGACATTAGATTTTTTGTTTGTTTTTTGTCTGGCCTTTTAAGGCCAGACAAAAAACAAACAAAAAATCTAATGTCATTTGCACAGACAAATGAAAATATTTTTGTTAGAACAAGAAAAAATATTTTGGAATAATTACAAACCTTAGAAAGATTTTTTACTCCACTTTGAACATTTCCATGGGCTTTTTCAAGATTTTCTTCAATGTTATCCAATTTTTCTTGTTGTTGCTGAGAAAAAAAAAAAAAAATCAAAACCATTTGTTTGTTTCTTTTGCTCATTTAAGATTATCTTGATTAAAAAAAAAAAAAAAAAAAAAAAACTACAAAGAATAATGTATTTTATGCTTTTTCCTCCTAAGAGAACAAGGGGGGACACTAAATCTAAGAATTCTTGTGTAGAGATCCAATTAGAGAATATAGCTTAATGTCAAGCATTAGGAAAATTTATAATTTAAATTTATATATAGTAACCTTAAAAAAAAAGAAGAAAGAATAGTATTATGAATATAATAAGAAAGAAGAAATATTTTTAATCTTGCAGTATCAAATTTTCTTTTCTATTTACATTAGATTCTGATTGTAGAGCAGGAGTAGAAGACATTTAACTAGAATCATGAGTCTAGGTTCTGCGGCATACAAAAGGCCTTTTAAAATATTAAAAGATGTAAAAGCAAAGCGTTTTTAAAAGAAAGTAAAAAAAATTATAAACTGAAGAATAGAGACTGCAACAGTAAACAACTTCAGAAAATTTTCTCAGAATATTTTATTATTTACAGAAAATCCTTATTTAAAGACTGTATTTAAAAAAATATAGCTTGGATTCCTTAGCAATGTATCTACATTCACAAAGAAACTGAAAAGTGGGTATCCTAACAATGTCACACCTGTAAAATGTGACATCCTGCATAGGATTTATGCAACAATTACACTAAAATGTTGTGTTTAATATGTCAAATTTGAAGGTGAAAATTAGTGTAGAAGAGGTTTCAATCTTGACCATGATTTGCATTGTCAGATACAATTAATCTAATCAAAATGATGTGTATGTCTATATAGAGATTTAAGTTAAAAAAAAAATGTAAGAGAATGTAATGATTTTTTAAAATAAGCAAAGAAGAACCTTTTTGAATATTTCTGCAAACAGAAAAATCAAAAGAGAATTATGTTCACCTCTTCATCCTAATTGAATTAAAGCAAAATAAAGAAGGAAAGATTGAAATTTTAGAAACTAAAGTTAATGAATTCAGTATCAGCTGCAACTGTTTTCTTTGTTTTATACCAAAAATTATCAAATTCCTTTCAAAGTAGATAATTGAAAGCTGATATTACACTATCCACATTGATATATAATTAAATAGAATAAATGATAGTCATGGAGTAAAATCAAGTAGTAATTGATTAAGTGTTTGTTATTTACCATAAGAAGAATTTTAAAATAAAACTGTTGTTAGTGCACTTACCTCAACTAAAGAAGAAAATTCATACACCATATGATTAAGGTCCACAAGATTCTGTAACAAGAATTAAATGCATTGGTTCATAAATTTGGTGGCAGAGTAATTGTGAATTCAAGCCTAGAGCCAAATAGTTTGATTGATTTATTTATTTTTTATGACTTATTAACCCTTTGTGGGTTATTTAAAGCCGAAACATATTTTAGATTGCAAGAATAATTCTTTTTTGTGAGTGAATATTGCATTAACAATTTTTTGAAAATAACAATGAATTTTTAAAGTACAAGTCCATAGCTGGGGGAGAATATTGGTTCATATCTTTCCTAAGGGTAGTTGCATTTAACTGGTTGAGTAATGACTGTGCAGTTCTAAAAAGAACAAGATGAGATATCCCTAGAAATGGACAGCAAAATGAGAACAATCTGTACCCCCATAGATTGAATAAAGTGTTCAGCTTGAAATTATTTGAATTGACTGAAAAAGGCAGTGAAATATTGTATTAATAACAACAAAGATGAGAACATTACTTGGAACATAAATAATGATAAATCCCAGAAATTCAGGCAGAAATAAAGACTCATAATGAGTGTTTGGCTACATGGCGGTGCTAAAGAAGAGACAACATTAGAAAATATAAAAGAACAACTAAATACTGGATCACTAGTGTCAATCATTAAATTTTCCTATCTACAAGAAAATAGGGAAATAAGCTGAATTCAGAGTTATGCTTCATCTAGACTGGTTACCAACCATGGCTAAAGAATCCAGTCTGTCCTACTATTTAACCCACAGCTGGAGGGAGAAAAGATGAATCTATAACTTTTGCAAGGGTATTTGCACATTAGTGAATGCAATAAACTTGACTGGAATTTGAACTCAGCTCTCCAATTTCTCATTCTGAAATGCTATCCATTACACCACTCATATATAAATGCATGCACACACACTAAAAAATGATGAGATAAATTACCTCTTTGAGGTTTTGCCAGGATTGAGCTGCCTGTGAATCCTCAGGGACATTATAGACTTGCAGTTGGGGTATGTAACTGCCACGTTCCAACTGAACAGGCAGACTGTGGGGGACAAGTTCCTCACACAAGTAGTCACCTTGATCACTTTGTCGACGCTGGAGAGGTAGGTTGGACGGCAACATATTATCACAGACTTCAGCTGTCAAAAATAACAATAAATGGTAAATATAAATATGAAATACAAATAAAGGAAAGAAACATGAAGTGAAAATGTAGATGTGTCCTTTTGTTGCCAATCGTATGGCACAAGAACAGAGTTTTTCTTCAATAAATTACAAATTTATGACAAAAATTTAAAATTTTAGTGGAACCAAATTCCTCAATCACAATATTTCAATTTGGTTCATATATGAAGAATTATTTTGCATTAATTCAAATTAAATTTAGCACTCATCCAATGCTGGGTTTTTAATACAAAACTTTAACAAAATTATTCCTGTTTCTGGAGTTCCATAGATTGAAGTTTTGACTCGGTTTATCTTTTTTGCATTTTAATTTTAAATGGTCACAATTTGGCGTGACTTTGAATACAGGGGATTTAAGTTCTTTTGTTGTTGGTAATGGATCAATATTTTACTTATCAATATACTTATATATTCAACAATTATATATATATATATACACACACACACACTTATTATTATTTTAAATGTTAGATTTAGTGAATACACATGTTTTTTAATCATTGTGAATCACTTATACAATTTACATTGTTTGAACTGTTGTCCTCATTTTGTTGCCAGGTGTTGAACTCACTTTGGGTCAAGTCACTGGAAGAGTTGTGAGTTCAATACTTAAATACAGCTGAGGTGAACAATAACTTGGAGAGTTGAGTTAAAGGGAGATAACTGATACTGAAACACTGAGAAGAGGCATGGCATATGGAACTAGAACAATCTATCCCCGTGGACAAAATAAAGGGTTCTGTTCAAAATTCCAATCACCTGAAGAAGGCTGGAACATACAACGGCCGAAACATTGTGTATATGGCAACAAAGATGAGGACAATGAAAATGAACAATGTAAATAGTGTGAATAATTACAATATCTCATATCAGAAATATAGACAGTGTAAATCACATCTACCGGCCTGTGCATTCCAGAGTCTTAATAAAGGGGTTGAATCTGATTCTCCCCATTTTCTTTTTTAAGATTCTTGAATGGACAGGTTGGTAGTTGTAATCCACTAAAAATAGTGTTTAAAGTAATAAGAAATAATGTTGGATTAAAAACAAAATCCATTAATTCCTGTTTAAATTTTGGATACAAAAATAAAGTTAACAGATATGGACTCTCATGAAAATTTGAACGAGATGTACATTCTTTAAAGAACCTTACTGCTGTGGATGAGCAAATTAAATATTTAAAATGACCATTTTACACATATTAACTTTCATTTCAGTCAATATTTTGTTGGGTCTTTTTCAAGGATTTGATGTATCTTCATTGACATTGGTAAATATATATTTTTAAAATTTTCATTACTTCTTCAACTTGAACAATTTACAGATGCAAGTGTTAATAGTTTCTGCAAACAATGAAAAAAAAAAAAAAAAAAAAAGTATATCAATAGTTGCCAAGTCTTTATGGAAAACTTAAGCCACCATTTTCTTATACTTACCTCTGATATTAAAGTTTTTAATTTATTGCCATTTCCTCTTTGACTGGAAAAAATGACTGACATTGAATGACCCAACAAGAGCTGCCATGTTGTAAACCAGTTTAACAGTTTCATATTTTGTAACCATTGGTTCCTTACTTATTTCTGGTGATTACAACAAAGATGAAAAGTCATTATCATTCCGAGATCCATTCTACAGACTTCTTCATGTAAATAATCTATATAAAAAAGAGGAATGCTTTTTTTCTTGGTAATGCAACCAGAAAAGAAACAGTAGTAGCTATATTGATTGGATCAACTCATTCACAGCTATGTGTGTAACAGGCAATTTCATGTTTTATACATGAAGATGTACACCAATTATTTGAAAAAATCTTTGTTAAAATCTACATTGACCTAAGTTCTGAGATGTTGCTGAAAATTTCCCAGCCAAACTCATGTGCTAAAATCAATATTTCAATGATCAAAATACCAATTCTGGGAAGTGGTTCAGGTCAAGAACATTTCAACACCCCCTTGTACATCATTTCCTTCAATTTTTGCATCTTTCAGTGAATTTGTTGAAAACACAATAAAAAGTTTGAAAAATTCTTGGAATGATGACGAGATATACTAAATAACTGCTGGAAGAATGTAAATAGTTTTAGTGAGAATTTCAAGAATCTCCCTTACCATCAGACTCGTCATCTTCAGCAGTATGGTCATCTCCAATATATTCTGTAATTGCTGCTATTGCTTTTGCTTTGACATGCTTGAGCTTGTCATCAAATTTAGGCAAGTCTTCATCAATTATTCGCCCACGCGCTTTTTCCAGCTCACGTATATTAGCCTTTATCTGCTGTACTGTACGACCAGCATTAACTTGTTCCTTGTTTAAACTGTACAAGTCGTCCAAGCGAGCATACTAAAATCATAGTAAGAGACAAAAGAAGAAATAGAATGTAAGACAGGCTTATTGTTTAATAGTTATACACACACACGTATAGAAAGGAGAATATTATATATAAATTACATATATCAGACTAAAGGTGTGTAATTGAATTACAAAATGAAAAAAATCCTACGTAACATGTTTTATCCTTCAAAACAATTTCAGACAATATAATTTTTTTTTTATGGAATCATATATATATATATATATATATATATATATATATATATATATATATATATAGGGAAATGCAAATATGAAAAATAAGTTCATCAGATTTATGAAACCAGAAAAATAAAGAATATAAATAGATAAAACTAGGCATATAATACTACCTACCAACTATATAACAATTGAAAAGAATTTATTTAAATTTAATATAAAATTTGTTATAACTACTTCAAGAACAATAAGAGATTTAATTAATACAAAACAAAATAATAAACCTAAAACCTGAAGCAAGAATTTATACTATAGAACAGGGGTCGGCAACTCATTTGACCCCGCGGGCCGGATCGTGTTATAATGATGGGTCGCGGGCCGGACGAAGGACATTAATGAAAAATTAAGGAAAATTACATATGCAGACCCCTGTCAACCTAAATATTTAAAACCATAATGAAAATAAACATTGAGAAATCAGAAAAACAAAAGAAAATCTAAAATTAAAAAACACCTAACAAAAATTACTTTTCCTCAAGGAATGTCAAAATACTTCAAAGTGAAAAAAAATCAACCGGAGTGAAATGGATGAAATTATGTGTAGGTTTGAAACTGTTATTGAAAATTGTTCCACAAATGAACTACACACACACACAAAACAAAAATGAAGCACATATACCCATACATATGAGTACAAATAGTTGCAAATATATACACTTACGTATGTACACATGTGGTATCATCCACACATTCATGAGGCATGTATGTATAATGCGCGTATGTTTAACTGCTACTTCGCATGTCAGTCCCTCCCTGGCTTCTTTCACTTTATCGTTCCCTTCGCTTCTGTTATCTTTTAATGTAGCCAAGGGTCATAACAAATATGTATCCATTATCTGACATTAAACGTAGGCAACGCAACTTGGTAAAATAAGCCTCAAGAAAGATAACTGGCAGATAGGCTAATATTTTTAGGGCACAGAGATGTGTGTAGACATTCTATGGAAAATGACATATAACAAATTTCATTTGAAGGTCGTTTCTCATGTTAAAAATAGAGTCATTGGTAATCAGGCTTGCGGGCCGGTCAAAATGCCTTCGCGGGCCGGATCTGGCCCACGGGCCGTAGGTTGCCAACCCTTGCTATAGACTGTAATAATAATCACAAGAAATACATAAATGTGACTTATAGGAATTTAAATAAAATAATATGTTAACAACTAGAGTTCGGCTGGGTGTAGAGGGGTGATATTTCAATATTTTGTTCCATTATTTTCAGAATATGATGAATGTAAGTAAATTTTTCTTCCTGTTTATATGAATTTGCACAAAAGAAGCAAATGAAGTGTGAAAACAGCATAAACAAATACATCAAAATTTCAGCGTATGAAGAGACGAGAGAAGGTGGAAGATTAAAGTAGATAAGAAAAACCAAACTTTCAGGGTGAATGGTAGGGTGACATTGAAATGGGACCGCAAATAGCAATTCCATGATGGACAGTTTGTTATAGATTAAATTTTTTTTGAGACTATTACCTTTTCTATATTTCTCCGATGTTGGTGTAGTCTCCCCAGGTCAATCTCAAGCACCTTGAGAAATTTGTCAATAAACAATGAGAGTTTTTGGATGGAATACTTTTGTTCTGTTGGGACAGTGCCTGTCTCTGCTGGTTTTGTCTCCCCAAAATTCATACTGGAGGAAAAAAGAAATCATATTCATAGTTAATCACATTTGATTAATGTTTTTTAAAGTTTTACCAGCACTGACAATTTGGAATCACAGTCAAAGTTAAAAGCAATTATGAATAGAGTTGGAATCAGAAAAAAATATAAACACTGACACCAGATTTAAAAGAAAAAGAAAAAAAAAAATTGCAATATTAAAATCATTTGATTTCTGTATTTTGTGTATTTGTCACTGTAATACAGCAAAAATGGCATATTGTTAAAGAAGTTTTTTTAGTTAAATATTGATTAAAGCAATTTCCAGTGCACTTGGGCTACTATTTTGAGTAATTTTAATTAAGTGTAAAATGACAAAGAAAGATAACTTATTCTTTATTAATCGTTAATTATAGAGTAATTTCTCTTAGATTTTTTAAATAAGAAAATAAGAAGAATAAGTAGGGAAGACTCCTTGATCTCCACATTCTTCTACTTCTGCCATAGTAGTAGACCAGTAACAATATTATAATAATACAGAAGCTTAGTGAGAATTAGCATTTATAAATAGTTATAATATTGTAGTGAAAGAGATAATCAGCTACCTTGGGAAAAAAAAAAAATACTTTAAGGACAAGAATCTATACTAATGTTCACCCTCGTCTGAATAGCGTGACCAATCACAAAGATCTCTCAGTGAACAAAAGCCGTTGTTCTTTGCTTATAAAGGCAGGAGATTTTCTGAGCTGGGGAGACGAACATGCGTTTTAGATCTGCCTTTGTCAGACATTTATTGTCATTTTGAGAATCCTTTGTACCGTTTACTGCTGTTATTCCGTTAAGTCTTGATTTATTTTTACAGTTTTTTCTTACGTTCGTTTTGACTGTTTTGTAAAACTTTGATTTCTTCCTTTTTAAATCCTTACCCTCCCCATTTTTTATTTTCACTTTATTTTTGACTAATTTTGATTTTCTCTTATAGCTTATTTTCCTTTTTTTTTAAAATTATTTTCTTTCTGTACCCCATTTCCCAGAGTTTATCTGTTTATTTTTCGTTTTTTTATTTTTCTTTGTTTACTTGTTACTTTGTTTCTGTGTTTTCTTTTAAATATCTGTAAAATTCTGTGTTTAATTTGTTAATTTTGTCTGTAATATATTTCTTTGTAAATTTTGTGTTTATATTCTGTCCATTTCTTGTTCTTTCCTTGTTTAACGTTTTGTTTTTGGGTTGACCTTTTTTATTGGCAGCTATATTGTAAATATAACATATTTATTGTTTCATATTTTCTGTTGTTTTCCTTTTCCTTGTATAGCGTATCGTTTTTTATTTTGTTATTACTTTTATATGTCTTTCTGTCTTGTGATTTGTTTGTTTGACTGTTTTAATTTGGTGTTTCGCATTTACGTGAACCTTGTACATTTGTTCTCGTCTGTCATACGTCCTTTTGTTTTGTGTTTCGTCTTTAGGCAAACTTTGTTTCTTTGTTCGTCTATTTAAACTTTTTGTACGTCCTTCTGTTTTGTGTTTGTCGCCTTGTTTATGGGCGAATCTTGTTTATATTGTTTTTATTTTTTTGTCGAATATATTTTTGTATTGATATTTGTTGTCTCGCTGTTAAGCGAACCTTTGAATTATTTTAGTTTTTTACTTGAACCTTGTTTATTTTTGCCATAACGTTTTTTCCTACCACCCCTCCCCATTCCTTTCCTCCTTTAATAATGGAGAAAAAAAAAAAGAAAAATTCCGTCTTTTCTGATTAAAAAAAGAAACCTATAATGGCGGATTTTAAGAGATCAGTTAAAAAACATTTGTTTTCAATTAAGAAACACCCGCCAGATAAAGATGACACTGAGGAATCCCCTTTCTTAACAAATATTCCATTGAATGAGGACATTGTTAATACCCTTAAAAAAGCTGCCAAGGCCAAAAAGAGCCAAAACGCAGAAATTATGGAAGCCGAGAATGGCCAAAGTAAAGACAAGAAAAACGTAGAGGCTGGGGAATCACCCTCTTGTTGGACGTCCCCACCAAGTTGTGTAATCAATGTTGCAGAGTTCTTGTAGTGAGCTAAGTGTTACACTCACCTTGTTGTAGAAGGTGGACTCTTAGAAGACCCCCAAGAATTAAGAAAGATTGATAAAAGAATAGTGTCAGTTTTCGTCGTAGACAAGCGCTCGAGCAAAATATGTCGCTTGACGAAAGACACATTGATAAAATCACTGGAGTCCTTCGGGTTCAAGCCTCTCAGAATCATTAAAGGAGCCGGCTATTTCATGTGGGACGTATTGCTACATCAAGTCGTGACTTGATAACCAAAGATCTAATATTGTGCACAGAGTATGAAGGCCGAAGAAGTACCAAGGTGGTAATATACGAAGTCCCTCATCAGATTATCGGAGAACACCTGGCTGCTTTCCTATCGCAGTATGGCGAGATATTAGGCGCTTTGAAATATCGTTAGACTGAAAAGCCTTCCTTTCCATCCCCAACTGTCTGGAAGTAGGGACCGGCCGCAAACCGGTATGTTGGAAGTGCGGAGAGACTGGTGACCTCTCCTCTTCCTGCCCAGAGAAGAAGGCCTCCGAAAGTCAAGCTCCTGTAGACCAAGATCCCCCTACTGACCGCGTCTTTACCTACTGCCTCGGCTGTAATGAGCATGCCAGCTTCTGTGACCGGTATGGTTAAACCTTCGGTTGGCGCAACATCTAAGGCCACATTCCCCAAAGAGTCTTCAACCACTGCTAATGCAGTTGTGGAGAAGAGGGAGGGGGAATGGCTGGTTGCTGGTAAGGCCAGAGGGAAGCGCCAGCCAGCGAGTCCTCAGTCCCATGAAGCCCCAAGGGCGAAAGGCACACACAGCCCCACTCCCTCTGGCAACGTTAAGGGTGATGCCTCGGCCTCAAAACAACTGTTTAAGGAACAACAGAAAAAATATGACCCAGGCTATGAAAAGATAGAGAAGATTAAGGAATTAAAAAAAAAAAATAGATCTTCAAAAACAGACTCTGCCCAAATCTTCTACTGCTTCAATGTCCGCTGTTCCATCCATACTCTCTCCCAAAACAACCTTCCACTCTGGCATCACCTAAACCAGTTCCCCTCAGCAGTAATCCCAACCCTTACTGACCAAAATCAGGCTACACCCCTCTTCATACTCCCAGTCCTATGCCTCTCTCAGTCCTTCCCCAGTGAAACAAAAATCCACTTACAACCCTCTTTGCACACCTAGTCCTTTCCCTGTTAAAGACACTGAAATGCCTCCTCCTCCTTCTAAAAGATAGGGAAGCCCCACACAGGAGCTTAAAGATAAAAGAAAGAAAACACAAAAACCTATTTATAACATGGGGGATGATGTTTGCTGGATCTCCCATGCACAAGCTGAACGAGCGAAAGACTACGGCAATTGCATCAAGGATCTGAAATACCTTCTTTCGATAAGGTATGCAGATTTAAATATTGAATGGCCTCAAAACTTCCCGAATGCGCAAAGAGTACTTACGGTAATAAGAACTGGTGCAGGAGCTAAGCAAGCTTGGGCAATGCTCAACGAGGCTCCCACATCACACAAAATGTCATCTCCTATAGCAATCATTGAAAACAAAGAACTCAATCATTTAAAACAATTTTGTGCAGGGAGGGTCCCAGTTTTAGTTCACTCCTCCCTCTATAGAGCGCTTAAATTGACATTTCCGTGGGATATCAGTGGAATCTCTCAAGACGGCACCATCAAGACTGAGATGGGCCATGGGTCTATGGAATGTTGATCCTTATCCCGACCATGTTCAAACCAGTGTCCCAACCCTAATTAGGTCTGTTAATGGCACTCTGGTTAGCGAGTTTGAACGGCTGGGGCCTGAGATCGGAGTCTTGAAGGGTGAGACTTGATTGCAATTTTCAGCACCTCAGAGTATGTTGTGTACAGAAGACTCATTTTTTATCTCGCAACCATGAGGACATTCATTCTAAGAGGTTTGTCCTCTTCAGTGGCATGTTTTGATGGATGCTCAAGGGACCTTTCCTGGCTGGTGAGCAAGTCTTTGGATGCGGCGTGTGCTCTTGTCTTTGCGGATCCAGCCAGCAGGCTTTGTGTGCTGGATATTACCATAAAGGATAAGGCTCGTCGTCTCATCGAGGTTTATGCACCCAATGAACATGTGCAGTGGTCTGTTTTTTTTTGGCAGATCGAGCCGTTCTTGATGACATCTTGTTTGGTAATTCTAGCGGGTCCTTGATCCCGATATAGATTGTATAGGGCAAAAACCGGGTACTAACAATCAGGATGTGAAACCGTTTCGGGACTTTATCGACGGGTTTGATCTTGTCGATAAGTATCGAAATGAGCACCCCTGGCAGCTAGTATGGACTTGCACTAGGGGCGGCAGCTTGGATACGGTGGTGAGCACAAGCTACATTGACCGAGTTCTAGTTAAGAGAGTCGAAGTAGGGCTCTTAGAATGTCCCAGTTTCCATTTTATAGTTTACTTGGATCATAGGCTTGTCCAGGTTCGGGTAAACTCAGATAAGCCTAAGATTAAGATGGCTGGCTACTGGAAACTGAACACATCATTATTTGGTGAGCAAGATTTCCAGGACCAGCTTTTACTAATGCTACAGTGGGAATTGTCGGGGGCTGTGGTTGGGAGTAAGTGGTGGGATTCGTTGAAATCAAAACTTAGGTCTTTTGCTACTGATTTTAGTTGACGACTCAATATAGCAGGGTTAGCAGCGGAAAAGTCTTGTGAGGAAAAAGTTGATCGGGTGATAAAATCCTGTGTTAGTGGGGACGTAGCCATAGCTAAGGCAGAGCTGGCCTCCTTGCTTATCAAGAAGGATCAAACTCTAGTATTTAGGGTAGGCTAAAAAGAATGTCTTGCTAGGCTACGAATATGGCTGCTTCATTGCATGCAGGGGAAGCTCTTAGGGCATCTAGTCGGCATATCGCCTACATCACATTGCCGGACAAGTAGACTGTGACTACAGACGCGGGCATTTGTGAGGCTTTCTGTGACTACTCTCAGGAGCTTTTTTAC